GACCGGTAAATTGAGAGCTTCGCTTTTACACTCAGCTCCCTCTTCACCACGACGGACCGGTGCAGCGTCCGCATCACTGCAGCCGCAGCACCAATCCGTCTGTCGATCTCCCTTCTCCCATCACTCGCGAACAAGACCCCGAGATACTTGAACTCCTCCACTCACTCCACCTCACTAAAGCTTCATGTTATTTATCTTATGTCCGTCACTGTGTTATCACCAGCTCAGTGCAGCAGGATGATCATTACTCCCAGTGACCATAAAGACACTCAAATGCTCATTAATTGCATTTCAGTCAAAGATAGCTTGGGTTTCAATGCCTTTGTGTGCCCTGAAATGTCTTTCAAATTCACCATAATCTCTTTGCAATCATTGTTGATAGCTCTCAGCAGCCCTAAATACTCCTTAGTGACCCTAAAACTATTTACTACATCTCAGCAGACCGGTAGTAAAGCTGTCAAAGAGACCCTGAAATATTTCTCTGTACCTCCACCCTGCATCATTTTGTAGAATTTGCTCTCGATGTGGAGCTGTGGATGTTTGGTCTTCACACATTCCAGTTTAATGGCTACTTCCTCTCCTGTAGCAATGTTTGACCCTGATGAGAGAAACAGAGGTTAGATCAGAAGAACTTAAGTCTACAAACCCACAAAATTGATGGCAATTGGCACTACTTGCTTAGATACTCACCGAGATAAATATCTCCAAAGGATCCACTCCCTATCTTCCTCCCAAGGCGGTACTTGTTCCCCACCCTCAACTCCATGGCTCCTGAGCTCTTCAACTTGCTGGAACGGTTCGACAGAATCACACAGACACACACACACGCACAAAGCTGTCATCAGTCACCGGTGATCAATAGAGTGAAAGGACACTGGTGAAAAGACTGCAGACTTTAGAGTACAAGCGGTTAGGCCTTAGGCTGCTGTATCAGTGAAGGGAAACAGAACTGTAAGCCTGAGCAAAGTACAATGACGTAGTGCAGCCCGAGTTGAATCTCTGGAGCCAGGAGGGAAACTGTGGCACACATGTGGCCAAAGCGTCAATAAGACACGACCTAATGAAACACCCCTGCTCCTGACGTGTGCCGAGGATGGTTGACAGTAAATTCCGGGCAACAATGTAGGCCAATAAAGTATTTATAAACTGCATGGAGCAAAAAAAAGGTGAGAGTGAAGAAGAACAGAGCCTGTAGTTGTGTAACATGATTTATTAAGAACTGCAGGGGGGGGAATCTTACACACACACACACACACACACACACTCTCTTCCCAAAGCACTTTAAAGGAGTCTTGTGTACAAGTGATTTGCATAAACTTGCAATTTCTCACCGGGGTCCCCTCACAAAATCTGAATGAGTCATGTTTTCCTCATCCTGGCGCTAACTGTGTGCACAGCCCTGAAATAAGGACATAAAAGTGTGAGGTGATGGAGGGGGCTTTTCGACAAAGGTTACGCTTTTACAAGCCAGCCTGACATCGCATTAATCGCTGACTAAGTGCCCCCCCCCCCCTTTCAGTCTTGACTGCATTGTAGACGAACCTCCACATACACACCGTGCACTGCTGCACACCGCCAAACCCTTTCCAGCAGGTTTCTCAAGCTCGTTTTCTCTCTCAGCCTTCCAGGAGCTGCTGCTGCTGCTGTGCTGCCAGCGTTACAAAACAGGGACCCACTATTGCAGCAAGAGACTGCAAAAACAGGCGAGACGTGGTATTTTCACCCAGCGTGCAGTTGCCCCAGATATCACAAAGCAAATGAGGAAGGCCGTGCATGCACAAAAACCCCAAAACCCCCACAAACCCAAACAAACAAATAAATAAACAACAACATACCGTTCATGTCTGGATGGCCATCAGATATGGTAATAATTCCCCATAACCGCACCCTCCACACAGGACCTCTGATCGAGCGCACCCCCTCGCCCACCCCAACACGACTATCTGGACTCTGTTTGGCTAACCCAAGCCCTCCCCCCCCCTCCACGTCCCTCTCGCTCTCTCTCACACACACAGACATCTTCACCAGCCAACATACACCCACCCCCCGAACACCATCACCACCATCCCTGCACCTTCTCACCGGCTTCGTGGTCGTCCGTCGTCTCACTCAGGACCCTGGACAGCGACGTACCGATGCGGCTTCGGACGGCTCATAGCCTCGGAGATGCGTGACCCGAACCCGAAGTGTCGACCAAAAAAATTACCAGCTAATCCGAGACGGAGGTGGAGATGCGACTAGAGGAAGCACCGTAGAGTCACGTTTATTTAATGGAAAAAAAAACCCTGAAACTAGACACCGAGGTCCTCCTCTTCCTCTCTCCTTTGGCTGCTCCTTTCCGTCTCCCCCTCACACCCAGCCCTCCCTCACTCTACACCATTGACAATATCAATGATGTCATGCACAGGCTTGCAGAGATGCCCGGATTGTCTTAAAGCAGCAGGGCTGCTGAGAGCTGCTGCTTGCAGGCATGAATGAAGCGCCTTGATGCCACCAGCTGCACTCTGATCTCCCCTCGCTCCCAGCAGACTCTAAAATTAAAATAAATAGAGAAGTATAACATGATCACCGCCCTGCGTCTGCTGGAGTAAGCTATGTGCCTGTGTATGGAGGACCGAAGCTGCCAGGATTAAAAAATAAATAAATAAATAAATAAAACATTAAAATATTAATACTTAATAATAAAATATAAGTTCCGTTGCTTCTATTATTCAGTTTTCTATTAATTATCCTATTTATTTATTTATTTGTGTTCCCATTAAATGTTTTTGCATATTAAGTGCACTCTCATTCGCTCTGTGATCCCCCAATTTTACCTGCCCAATTAAAAAGTAAATAATTAATGATTGAAAGTCAGATGTGTACTTTATTAGGTACACCTGTCAGTTAGCACAAATAACTAATTATGACAGCAGGTCAATGCATTTAGTCATGAAGACGTGCTGAATTTTAAACTGAGGATTAGGATGGAGGTTAAAGTGACTTTGGTGCAAGATGGTCAGAGCGTTTCAGAAACTGCTGATCTCTAGGGTTTACAGAGCATGGTCTGAAAAAAAGAAAATATCCAGTGAGCAGCAGTTCTCTAGATGACAATGTTGTGTTGATGTCAGAGTAGAATGGCTAGACTTTGAGCTCAAAGGTAGGCAGAAAGATTTCAAATAACCATATGTATGCATGCATCTCTGAATGTGCAATACACATACACACACAAAAGACCACGCCAGGTACCACTCCTGTCAGTTAGGAACAGGAAGACTAGGGTATCGATCAGAGCTGGACAACTAAAGACTGGAAAACAGCTGGTGTTGTGAGTCTCAATTTCTGCTTCAACATTCAGACATGAGAGTCAGAATTGAGTGTAAACAACATGAAAGAATCAACCCGTTTTGGCTTGTATCAGTGGATCACACTGGTGTGGTGTCCATCTACAGTGTACCCATCTTCTGATGGCTACTTGCAGCAGGATAACGCAACACATCAGATCACCTTTAACCGATTTTGTGAAAAATTAGAGTTCACTGTACTCCACTCACCAGATTTCAATCCAACGGAGCATCTTTGGGAGGTGACGGGAAATCATGGATATGCAGCTGACAAATCTTCAGCAGCTGTGCTATCATGAGAATATGGACCAAAATCTGTGGAATGCTTCCAGCACCTTGTTGAATTTGTGCCATGAAGAATTACGGCAGTTATGAAGGTAAAAGTGGATCCAACCCAGTAGTAGGGAGATCTAACAAATAAAGTGTCTATTCCAGTGTTTTCACAGTATTTATCATTTAATTTTATTTACTACATTAAAAAAATAAAAGTATTAGGCTGACATAGCTCTACAATTGCTGAAGATCTGCACTGAAGATTCGTTTTATCAATTGAGAATCTAGCTAAATAAAAAATAGCTTTATCTCCTAAACTAATAGCTTAGTTTTGATTACAGGGTTGACTAATGACCCAACATTTTGATGCCATCTGACATTTCACCCCTACACTTCATTTTATCCTATTAAGACATTTGATAGTGAGATCATAATTGGCATATGATTTAAGTCAAAAGATGTGTTTTGTGAGTTCAGTGATCATGACCATTTTTTTCTTTAAATGTTCCTTCCTGTCAGAGAAAATCAATTTAGTTCATCAAATCTTCGCCACCCTCGACTTCTCAAGAAAACTACTCAGAGGCACAAAGTGAAAAAAAGACAGTGCTTCAATTCAACCTTTATTATCTTGTTCTTTTCTGCTTTAAATTAATTTCCTCTCCTTTTATGTAACATCTGAAACAAAGGAAAACATCCTGAACAGGAGTGATAATAAAGACTGACTTAATTTAAACTGATACATAATAAAAAGAAACACAGTAAAACATAAAATGTCTTTAACGTGTCTGTAAAACACTGTTTCCAGCTCAGCTTGGTATGGTAAGATTGCGGCATCTTAATAAAAATGCCTTCGGTTGGTTGCTTCGTCTTAAAAACAAAAATATTCTCTTATTGCATTTAAAAGAAAAAAAATATATATAAACGGAAACAAAAAGCGACTAAAAACACAACTTAGGAGACAAATGCAATAGTGCCAATGTTTTTGAACTTTTTAGCTATCACAACATCCAGTCAAGCACGCAAAAACACACACACGGTCTTTCTCTCAAATGTAAGCCGTCAGATTTACATCTATTCACTTCCCTGACTGGAGAAGATCAGTGTTCAAAAGCACGCACGCGCATACACACATTCATGAATCTCTCATGGACAAGAAAAAAGAAAAAAAGAAAACATTCAATGTTGCAGCAATAACACAGACACTCCCGATATAATTGTCATCATAATCACATCCTTCTCCATTCGGTCGTAACTGTCAACACTCAGTTCATGCACACACAGGCAGGCAGGAGGGCACCTTGTACAGCGAGTAAATATGTGATCATAGTCACCATTACATCATGACAATATATAATAACCAACTTGATTTCTTGAGTAAGAAAAAATACAATAGCGAGGTCAGTGTTTGAAGGGCAAATAAGAGGACATCTCTGGATTTCCACTGTTTTTTTCCACACATTTCTCTTTTCTTCTAAAACAGAAAACAAACTGATAAACAACCAACGCACATCGACAAGGAGATACAATTTTGCTTGTCAAATATAAGAGCAGTGTGTAACTGATGAAAAGGTGTGATGATGCTGTTGACATGGAGGGTGGGTGGCCGCTGGGTGTTAGCCAAGGCCACTGCTGCTGTAACATTTAATTGTTCTTTAAGGTCTATGTAGTTGTGTTGTAGCTCTGTTTCAAAAATGGAGGGATTTGTGGAAGGATGCGTCAACAACAAACCCAGAGGCATATAGTGCAAGTTTGGCTAATGTTGTTTTTTTTGTTTTGATTTTGTGTTTTTTCCACCCTGGGTCCCATAGTGATGGCATATTCCCACCAATGTAGATGTGTCGGTACCTACTAAAAAGACTCTTTCCTTTTGCGCATCTCAAACGTTGCTGATCGTCCATTTGACTCAGTAGTGTGGCGCTGTCCCAGATTTTTTTTAAAGTTCCGATCCTTCCCGCTCTTAAGCTTCCAAAAGTGGGAACTCCGAAGTACGCCAGCCAGGTCTAAGAGGGCTCAGTCTGCATGTCTGACTTTTGAGATTTGACCATTAAATAGCAATATAAAATTAAAAAAAGTGGCACACTAAAAACAGCAATAGCTAAACTTGTTGACGTGTAGGACTCTGGCTGAGCCTGTCTACAGTGCATGCCTGAGTGATTGGGTCTCTGAATGCAGGTGTGTGGTCTGAAGTAAAAAGACAAAGAGCTATCCAGTTACGTCCTAAAGAGTTTAATGGATTTCACCTTTTTCCCCCGGTTCAAGTTTTACTGTTGTCTTCATTTAAAGTTAGGCGGTTTAATGTCTGTGTGAAAGTAATGTGTGCATGTAGCTTGTGTGTAGTATGACTGTTGAGTGTCTATGTTGGATGACCAGTGTAGCTTTTTTTTTCTCTACGTCAATGCAGAGCATGACGTGTTTCACCTTAGGTGTAAAACGTGTGTGTCAGCTGGCCCCTCAGATAGAGTCGGCCCCCCCGCCCAGCAGGTCCCCTGGAAGCAGCGAGGCGGGGCTGCCCATCTGATGACGATCCTCAAGCGCCGGAGAAGCCCAGAGGCTACTGCTGGGGTACCCTGTCCCCCCCATCCCACCCACACTTCCCCACAGACCCTGCCTTCCGGCCTCCACACCTCCGGCCCCACCTATCCCGGTGCCGTTGGTGCTCCATTGGGTGAAAATGCCCAATCCGGGCCCCTGGGTGGCAGACTGGTCCGACGAGCTGCCTGTGCTTTCTAGACTTTGCCATGCAGAACTGGAAGACCCAGCTCCTCCATTTCCTGCCCCTCCGACTGTGGAAGCGCCATCTACTCCTCCTACCCCACCGTTTCCTCCTGCTCCACCTCTTTCACAGCTTCCTCCGTTACTGTTAGCCCCAACTATGGAGGTTGCTGTAGGCCCGGAGCCTTGGGAGCCGGCTGCAGCTCCTCCGCTTCCTGCTCCTCCAGCCTGGGAATGTGCAATGTAGCGAGCCACATCTTCCTCACTCATAAACTCCGCTAAGATGGTTGTGTTACCCAAAACACACCTGGGGTAAACAGAAAGTCCGTCATACACTTGTAATGAATGAAGGGCCACAAAAGCTTGTAAGGTTTTTCAGCCTCAAAATGAACTGCAAACAAAAGTTGAACACTCAGTTTGTGATGTATAGTCTACACAACTGTAAAAAGTGAAACTATACCAGAATATGGTTTGCTACACATCACGTTTGCAAGCAAGTGAAAATAACTAGGCTTGTTCTTTCTGCAGGATCCAGATCACCTCTAAACTTCAGAACTTTATTGTAAAAACAACACTTAATGGTTTAACACTTCAGGTACCTTTTCCAGGGATCAGTAACAGGGATCTTTGCAACTCTTGAAAGCCAAGCGTTATGATATTTTACAGAGAAAATGCTCAACTATGAAACAAACTAGGACAATATAATGCTGACCTTTAGATTTACTGGTAGATGGTTTTTGTTGACGGTGGATAAAGGCAAGCTAGCCATTTGCTACCACTTCTAGTCAACATATTAAGCTAAGCCAAGATGCTACTTTAGTTTCTTTTACTTTAAGATTTACTTTAAAAAGATGTTATCAAAATAATTCCTTACATGTGAAGTGCACTCTGAGCCTTGGCTGCCTCTTGTCTGGAGCTGTAGCGAATCAGAGCAGTGCCCTGGGTCAGGCCAAGGTGAAAGGTCAACAACGGCCCGTGCTGCATGCAGATGGTTCTCAGAGTGGATCCATCAATCTGTAGTAAAAAAAAAAAACAAGCAGACGAAAGAGATCT